TCTAGTCTTTTTTCAGACTGTGCAAATGTCCAAAGAGGAGCTCCAGAAAGCTGAAGAACTGTTGCTCAAGAGCACTTTAAAAGATACAGGCAGCCTCCCATTAGATGCACCTGAGGTATAAATGTGATGATTCTAGGTTATGTTCACAAAGGTTGACCTGTGACCTCGAGGGATTTGATCTCAGTTTGTGGAAGCTCGTCCTCACCTGCTTTAAACAGGTGAGTCCAAAGTGTGATTAATACAGCGTCATCCACAAACCTTCACATCAGACTCTCAGAGTTCAGTTTCCTTTATTTAAAAACGAAAGAAAGACAAATCAAGAAAACAATCAAAGAAAAATCATCACATTCAGAGTTCACTCCAAATATGGGTGGAGATGGCTGCACAGGCATCCACCCTTCACTCCCCTGAAAACCAGATAAACTTGACCTTGCTTTTCACTTGAAAAATGAAAAGCATGGGTCTGCTTATTTAGCACAGAAAACAGGAAATACAGGAACACTTCACAGTAACGCTTCACATATAAACTCGCAGTAACGACACTGAGATTTTATGAAAATTTCACTTCCTGTCTCGATTAATGGGACGAAGAAGAGCTCCAGGTTATAAAAATATAGACACAGACTTTATTCAGATTTACAGGAGACGCTATTGTCAGGATTACATCGTCACAGGTCAGACAAAGATGGGAACGACCTGTTGTGGGACGTGTCCCTGTGGGAAACCGTGTCAGCTCAGCGATGATGATGATCTGAACTCAAACAGTCCAGGTGAGACTGAAGGATTGCATCAGCTGTTCAGGAGTTTGACATTTTTATACACGCGCCCCATTTTCAGGCTCAGAGCTAACAGAGCAGGAATTTTATACAAATATTAAGAATAGTCAGCAGAGTTAAAATGATCTGAGCTTGTTCAGCCCACTGAACCAAAGTTTGTTTGATCCAGAATCCACTGCAGTGGTGTAACAGATGCCAACCAACATCATCCATAAAATACTTGTTACACATCATTACACCTGAACCCCACACCCGCTCCGCCGGCTCCACCTAAACAGACTTCTCCGAGTGGCTCCTCTTCAGGCGGTCAGACGAGCCGTCGTCATGTGAGCTCTGAGGCGAGAGTCCGGGTGGAGCGCTTCCTCGCCGGTAGAGGATGACGTATGACTGGAAGAGAGGGCGGGACCGTTTACTCTGACCTCTGCTCAGTCACAGCAGCTCTGATCACGAGTACATGCAGACACCAGCTTTAAATAAAAACACCATTAACAACAGCAGCAGAGGCTAAACACTGATCCCACACAGTGTCATGTGACTTTCTGCATCAAACATTTGTGTCAACAGATGATTGATAAACTGGTTAAATCTGATTGATTAGTCGCTGTTACCAGAGATTTGGGAAGTCGCGTTTTCAGCACACTGAAGGTCAGCCGGCTGCCGTAGGCGACCAACGCCATGAGGAGGAACACCAGCGCGCAGAAGGCCCCCAGCAGCACCACCAGCATGTACACTGAGGAAGAGACGCAGGGTGCAGGTGTTAGACTTCCACCTGCACATTTACATGCCTGAGAGGAAGTGCTCGCTCTGAAACCAGGTTCCTCTTTCAGTCTTCAAACACGGTCCGTGTGCCTTCATCAGGGCGTGAGGTCTGTGAACACGCATGTGTCCATACACGGTAATAAAACCGAGCTCCCATTGGCTGTGCCGGACGCACGAATGTGACATCATGTGACATCATGTGACATCATGTGAAAAGAAGAGCTAGGCTAATCACAGAGGCGCGTCTTACATTCAATTCAAAACTGACACTCTGGAGTTTCCTCATGTCTCTGAGCAGTGAGAATATTTACATTCAATAAATATTCTAACTTATCAAACATGATTTTGTGGCACAAACTGGATTTCTTATCACCAGACTCCAAATAAGCTACAGCAGCGTGTGGACAGAGTCTTCCTGTCACACCGTGGACAATCAGGTCAGCTTTAGCGCCATCATAAACTTGTAATAAGCATTGGCTCGTGTCTGGA